AGTGCAGAACATAATGAATCTGATATGGAACAAGATATATGGAAGCAAGAGATGAAAGCATTTTTACATAAAGTTAAAAAAATACCATTAAACAAGCGATATTATTATGATCAGTCAGTATTGCACGGTGCACCACAATTAAAAAAACGTGTAAAAGTACAGAAAGGTGGACATGTTATTCGTTATGTAAAATCAAAAGAGACACGCTATATTCTGCACGCATGTATTGGTATTACTGGTCCAATTGTGTTTGAAGTTACAAAGAAAAATCTTAATGATCATGAAGTTAAACGGTTTATTGTACGAAAAATTGTACCAAAATTAAAATTAGATGATGCATTAGTCATGGATCGTCTGGGCTCAACTCGACGTGTAAAAAATCCTCGTAAACAACATTTTAATCCTCTAACGTTAGCGGCCGTAAAAGATGTTGGTGTAGATGTATTACATTTACCATTTAAAGGTTCATATCTAAATCCAATAGAACTGCTATTTAGTGATTTGAAAAATAATTTTCCTGTTACGAAATATTCACATTATCCAAATAATGAAATGAATATTAGTAGTACAGCAAAACATGTACAACAATATATGAATTATGCGGCTCCACAACGTTGTCGAGGTTTTTATCGAAGTCGTGCAAATGGTAAATCAATCATCAATTGTGGCTTGTTGGATTAGACAATGTCATATTTTCCACAAATTATAATAATTCATGTACAAAATAACCGTTACATTACAACACGTATCTACAATCTATGTTACCCACTCTAGAATTGTACATAACTTTCACCATAAATACTTTGGATGTTAAAATTAAATTTTCGAATATATGATATAGAAATAGGTTCACATAGGTGCAAAAATAACGACTATTGTTTGATTTAAATTTTATATTGCAAGATTATGTAAAGTTGGTTTTGTATATATTGTATATATATTGTATATTCGGGTCGCGTTCACTTGGCCGACAATCACTTGGCCGACTCATCACTTAACCGACACCACTTCGCCGACAAATTGTTTGGCCGACATGTACACTTCGCCGACAACTCATTTGGCCGACAAATATTTGAGATCAAAAAAATTGAAATTTCTTGAAAATATTGCGTGGATTTTTCCCACTCATTCACCTATAAATAGTGAACATTTTTCAAAATAAAATCAGACGACGATTTTTTATCAGTTAAAACAAGTCTCCCGCTAACAAACTGTTTCCCGTGAGATAAGTTCGATTTTCTTCGGGGCATTGTCCATAATCTTTCATTGTAAATAAATGTGACTTTTGATAAAAAGATTTTCTGACGCAATATTTTCAAGAAATTTTATTTTATTTTACTTCAAATATTTGTCGGCCAAATGAGTTGTCGGTGAAGTGTACATGTCGGCCAAACAATTTGTCGGCGAAATGGTGTCGGTCAAGTGATGTGTCGGCCAAGTGATTGTCGGTCAAATGATCCGGACCCGTATATTCACTATTGTCACTGTTGTTATATAATTTAGTTTTTTGTAATTTTAAATAAATATTTAATTACGTTTTAATTTCGAGGGGTCGGTGTTTTTTGCACTCCGTACTTCTGATTATTGGAGGAAATTCATCATACATGCGGTTAATAATACTGTATGAAAAATGTTGAGTAACAATGAGAAATATCTGCCCACGTACTTAACATGTTTTCACGCGTTTTTAATAAATTACTGTGTGAAAAGCAGTTAAAAAATTTCGCTTGTCACAATAAAAAACGCGTTTAAGCACATTCATTTTGTGGAAGTTTAACGCGTGTACAGGGTCAAATTTGTAGCACATTTAATTGTGAAATTTTTAACGAATTTTCACATCATACGACTTTATTTAATTGGCAAATCTTTTTACGTGAATCATGTCTGTTTTTTTTCTTTTGCAGCTTCAGTTGCGGCATGATCTGGCAGTGTATGAACTAGATACCAGTGGCAGAAGATCATTGCTTCTTGAAGCGTATTTTAGAAGAACATCAATAGAAAAACTCCTTCTTAGGAGGTTGCACCATGTAAAGTAGACAGAAATATCACATAATTTTTTACGGTTAGACTTAGAATAAGTGATAACTTTTCTACTTTAGTAGATTCACCACATTCCTCCTTTTTTCAAATATTGAGTTCAAGAATGAATGAACGGTATCTGATATAGTCTATTTTTAAATATTCAAAGTATCTCAGACTTCTTTAATGGGACAAAATGCGACAATAGACATCTTCACGTTTATTGATTTATTAGATTTTTAAAACGAATTAAAAAGATTTGTTTTTGTAATTCTGATGGAGCATCAAATGTAGCATCTTTTGATAAAAACTCAGCCTTCTATTATGTTCTTAAACAAAAATACATGCAAAACATAAACTGTTGCAAAACTTTTGGCTCGCTCGGTATTACTTAAAGTGTTAAGAGAATGTTAGACCATTGTGCGAAGCTAAAATGAAGTCGTTTATTTTATATAAATTGATTTGATTTATATCTATCTAAGGGATGATTTGATTTGTAAAAAGAAAATGCGTTAATCTACACTACAAAGCTGAACAATTCATTACATGAAATCCCTAGTCTATTGATAAACTAAATGCCAATTTCAAGCAGTTGCACTTTGAATATGTTGCAGAACACTTTCGGAAAATTTTAATAGATTTTGTTTATTGAACATATGACCACAATGTTCCATGATCATTGTTTTTGCATTCAGTAACTCAGCTAATTCTTGCTGTTTTTTAGGTGGGAAAATTTTATCTTGCATTGCTATTTGTACTGTCACTGGCACCTGTGCATCTTTGATTTGTTGTGCATGTTCATCCGTTAGATAATGTGAGTTAAAAATAACATGCTGTTGTGAACACCCATCAATATCCTGAAATATGAACCATTTGCCACAGTCATTTAACCATTTTTTAATAAGTTCCTCCATTTCTTCTTCCTCTATTTCATTAAATACTAGTGGTATCATTGAACGTAACATTTGTTCATTATCCGGTTTTGTTGCAAAATAAGGCAGTATTATTCGAGAAAAAATCCATTTTGGTAGTAATGCCAATGGTCGAATATAAGAACCTAGACAGATAAGAATAAGATTATTGTTTTCAAACATCAATTCGACATTTCGGAAGAGTGTACAAAATGCATCGAATGCATCAATTTTCTACAATAATAACAAGAAAAAATCATTCTCTTTGCAGAGCTGAAGCTGTCTAAAATTGTCAACCAGATAAAAATAGTTGTTTACTTGCGAGTTGAAAAACGGCTTTAATCGATATAAAAGAAGCAACCGAGAAAGTTCAACATGATGGCCAAAGAATCTTTGATGACTGCACGTTGGAAGGTTTGGACAAAATGGCAACAGGCTGACTTTTTTTCATGTTTTCTGATAGTCAGTAATACTCTTATTAGCTCTATAATTTATGAGAAAGATGAAGTCAAGTGACATTTTTAAAACTAGATCGGATTGGATTGATCAGTTTAGATTTCCGCACAGATCTCATCAATTGGTTTTTATAACACTATCATAGACTACTAAGACAGGTATCTCTACTCTGAAAATAGGGTATTTTGTTTTCCGGCTATGAATTTTAGAAACTAAACTTCAAATTCATGATCAGAGTTGTTTCATATACCTACGCATCAGTCTCTTATCAATCCTGTAGCTATTGGAACTGAATGAAAAACTATTAAACATCTACTTACCACGAATTGTAATTGCCAAATAAAGCGATAAAAGACGTTGTTCCGGTATTAATAACACAGCTAATTCTTGTGCTACCATTCCACCTAAACTCGCGCCTAAGACATGAACTGGAGTTTGACCACCCCATACATGGTTAATTAACTGATAAGCATCATGAGCTAAAAGACTTGACGTTTGTCGTTCTGTTGTGATGACTGTTGTTGCTGGTTTTGAATGGCCAATTCCACGATGATCGTAAGTCAATATTTCTATTGGTGATGGATAATGTTCAACAAGATATTCGACATGCTCATCGTAAAGTCTTAATGTTGCATATGCACCCATAATCATTATTATTTTTGTCGACATATTTGATGATGATGGTGATGAACAATGGAGTTCATAATATATCTTAATGTTGGGTGTTAATGAAAAATACTCCTTTTTTATTGACATATTACTTAAATTTTGTGTTTGAGAAAAGAAAGAGTATTTCTACAACGACAACATAAATATGTTTTGTAGTTTTTCTTTATTTAATAGACTTCTCATGTATATATACATATATATATATGGGAAACGAACCAAAATTAGAACACATGAAGAGCAAAGCATACAAAACGATGCGGTCTTTTCAGTCTGTATAATATTGTGAAAGGCAGAAAAACCTTGTTTGAGATTTCTTCTTAAAAACTACACATTTACAATATCGAAGATAACAAGAAAAAAGAAAAAACAATCAGTGTATTCTGAGTCAGCGCTTTTGTTTTTCTCTTCGGGTGGGTCTTATGAAGTAAGTCAAATACAAACATGGCAGCCGAAGAAATATTACTCACGTCATCTGGAAGACAAGAACCAATCGAAATGAAAATCCTTACTTTACCGTAGTCTATTTCTTTTCTTCTTTCATTTGGTTGATAGCTATAGAAGATGAAATACAGAAATACTGTGTTTCAATCCTTCGAATGCTTTTCTATTATTTTCATTATGATCTTTCATTGCAATATTTTCGGTTTTGTAACGGTGAAATTGTAAGAATTTTTGTTTTAATTTAATTAACTCGACTATAACTGCGTCGATCTATTTTGTTTTCAATAATTATTGATTGATGATATAATCTGAATGCCTATTACTACTCTATTCATGAATCCATCAAGAATTTTTAACGATAAAAGTATCATTGTTACTCAAATAGAGCAAAAATCGAAATGATAATTTACGGTATCTAATAATCTTGCGAATATTTCGTCACTCTCTTTCAATCTTTTTCTAATATCAGTCTTGATCAGAATCAGCAGATTAACATGTGATGTTTTTTATGGACTTCTTAGAAATTGTTTTAGAAACAGGCATCAAGGATATAGAAAGAAAAGAAACATAGAAATACTGGGAAAATGATGGTAAAACACATATCGGACGTTTTTCCAATTGAAATCAAGGCATAACATTGATTCCTTCGACACCTCTAACATCTCCAATATCTCCGATAGCCCCTATATCTGGCTTTAAATTGATTTTCAGCAAGTTGATAAGACACACCTAGTCTAGATTAAAATAGGGAGAAATCGAATAACAAATATCTTGAATAGTTCTTTATGTTGAGAATAGTATTTGACACATTCGTACTTTTCTATTTTTAAAATTCAAACTTTTTTAAAGTTTATATTTTTTTCTTCTAAATAAATTATTTTTGGTCATCACTGAATGATGATAACGAGTTTTTCTTAAGATTTTGACATCAGACTGACTGACTATCTGAATTTGAATAAGCTTGTATTCAGTGATTTGCTCATACAATTACGTCACATGAGATACACAGCAATTCTAGATGAGATAATGATTTTGTTCTTTTCAATTTCAAAGAGCTCATGTATAGGTTCATCAAAAATGATGCTTAATCTCTGATAAAACTTGCTTTTATATGATCTATGTCGGTCAGTGATATTTCAAAGTCTTCGATTTCAAAGTTTCAGTTAAAAAGCGCGATGAAAACTGATAACATGGTTTAGAAAACTAGTCACAAAAGTAATAGAAAATGGCCTAGTGTATGTGAATTGTACTCTGCACTTTATGCAGAACAATAGTTGTTGAACTTTTTCGTATTAGCGTGCGTTTATTTGACGTCCAAAGAACGCACACTGATGTGCAAAAAGAAGCAACGTCTCATTCTTGATGGCTTGAAGGACAGATGAATTTTACGATTAAACTTCTCAGTATCAGAGATCATAGTTAGATGATTGATTCTTATAAAAAAACAGAAACAAATTGAGCAATCTGTCGGTAATAAGAAAAAAATCTATCTGTTGCTCTTATTACACAGATTGAGAGATACAAAAAAAAACTTTTGATTATCTGAATATTGTTTGGAGTCGCTGTGATTCATACAGATGAACTAGGTCCAACAATACAATTAATTCATCTGTTTAAGTTTTTACACAACATTTTGGATGCATTTCACACTGGTATTTATATTCAAGAAAGTTTTTTCCGATGTTGTACACCAATTTTCATCTACTTTGAATGATAGACTATTGTCAATTTTCATTGCTCCATAATTCTATACGTCATGAGAAGGGTGCTCGAACAATTCAGTTGTTTCTCACCAACACAAAAACTTGTATTTTCTATTCCTCAAAAATATTACAATTAAACGAAAGCTCGATAAGATAAAAACACCTTACACGATCTTTTCTGACAAAAATACAAAAAAAAAATATTTCTATTCATCAAAACTTAATCTACAGTTGGTTGAATAATAAAGCCAGTTATCAAATAGACATTCGATTAGCCTTTTTTTTCAATTAATCGTACAAAACAATTTTCTATATTATGATAGTTATCCCACGGTTAAAAGAATAAATCTAATATCTTCATTATCTTCAAAATGCAGACTCATAGTATTATAGGCGTTCTGTATCTGTTCAAATCAAGTAACTTTATCACACTATTGATACGCCTCAGAATAATTTATTTTCATCTCTATTACGAGTCATGTCAGTGTTTAATTAAATAATTATTTATAATAGCTAACATAAAAGATGTATTTTTCAATTACAAAATATTGAATGATAAATTGTAATTCAGGAAGCACATCAAAGGACACACTTTATGTCTCGTTGAAAAAAACAGATATTAATGAATTGATGCTTAATGGAGTAAAATCTGCTCAAGAAAAACAACAAAAAAAATAGTTTTAACATATACTCGGAATTTTGAACGTATTAATACGGTGTTGTTGATGTACTTGTATTTTTTCTCTTTTCAATTGTTCAACTGATGAATGAAATAAATTTCCTAACGTAATTTCAATTAATGTCGCGTATAAATAATAATTGATGTATTTTACTAAAATACACATTCATAGATAATTTTATCTTTAATGTAAGGCAATCATATATGGCACAAAGTGCGACGTTTATAAAAAGCAATGTCTTGTAATGATTGTTTGTCTCAAAAGCCAGCAAAATTCTACTCTAAAAGCTGAGTTTCATTATAAAATTTTCACATAGTTTTCAATAATCAACCAATAGAAAGCTAGAAAGAACCTTTTTGATAGCTCAGGAAGTGCTATGCTAAAGTTTGTCGAGCATATTTTTATTTTTATATACAAATAATTAATACATGACTATATTGTCAAAAGTTGTTCCGACTTTGTTCTACTCTCGTTAAACTAAAATAATGTGTGAATTTTTTACATCAAAGAGAAACACATTGAATATAATCATTCATGAAATTTGCAGTTTAAATCGAAAATTTTCATCAAAGAAAAAGAAAAGTTTCTGGTTTATTCGAATAACTGAATCGAGAAAACATAGGTGAGTCACGTAAAGCTATAAGAAATACAAATGCAGAAAAAAAAAAGAAAAAAGGACAGATTCTAGTAAATATATTGAATTGAAAAAAAACCACGAATAACTTATTATCGACGAGGGTATTTAATTTTTAGCCAAGAATATGTTTTGTTACTGTCGATTTTCTTTTTTTTAAATAATTTTAATAATTTATACGTTACGTGTTTATATCTTTCTCTAATCTTACATTCATCAATGAATACGTATTTATAATACATGTACATCTAATATGTAATATCTATCATGTTTGCAATCATTTATGAATATCTAAGTGTTAATGTTATATTGTATTTTCGTTAAAAATAGAAACCGAATCGAACCGGGATTTTTTAGTTCGAATCCAGGTTCGGTGCTTACTGATTTCGCTCATTTCACTTAAAATCACATTAATAAGAAGAACAGTTGTTTTAAGTAAGGTTCACCTTGATTCAATAGATATTTCAATGGATCCAGCCAATTTTATTACACTTGATCTTTTGACAAATGAGTTCAATTCATTTTCTATCTGCGTTGTGAACGTCCAAGTTAACGATATTTCAAAGATTCAGCTTGGCTTTTAAGATGATCTTGATATTTTGTGAGATTTCAAAGCATAAATGAGTATTTGTCTTGTAACAAACTATTCATATACAAGAAATGTGATCGATATAGTTCCTCACAACCTCTTGCATTACGTAACAACAGTCTTTGTATTATCAAAGTGCTATTGAAACTAGAAATTCTTCAGCGATTATCAGAAATCCACACAATTATCTGCTATCAGTGGTCATTGTTATCGATTCCTTTTCAAATTTAGACCCATATTCAACTAATAATGACCATAACTGTAAATTAAAAAAATTGAAAATTAATATTTGCAAATAATAAAGCGAAATATTAGCATTCTCTCCGTTATTTACATAGTAATAGACACTCTTGTTTCGCTGCCTTTGTATTATTCATCATTTTTTTTAATATTTAACATAAATAATGAGTGTCATATTCTATAGTATTCACTTCAATACCAAAAGAGAAATGATAGCTTTAGAAGACATAAATCGTTTAATTATTTCTATATGCTTTCATTGAGACCAAATATACCTTTCATATTTGTAGAAAGGAAAAAAAGAATACACTTGATTATTTGTTTTTGCGCACGAGCAGCATGACTACTAACAACGATACAATAGTCAATACTATTCATCAACTAGAAACACTTCTATTTCATGATGATATACTGAATGAAATAGAGTCTCATCCATTAATTAATCTTCGTGATCAATTGCAAAAAATCGATGATGAATGGAATTCAAGGACGATTGATGAATACCAAAAACTTATGTCTATTCTTATTTATTTTGAAATAAATTCCTTTTATCATTTTATCAAACGATATTCTTCAATAATTCCATCTACTCTTCTAACAGCTCTATTCGATGTAATTCGTTTTCAAATGTATATAAATATGGCAATATATCCAGAGTCATGCGATTATTATTTTGATTTATCACTTACTTATTTAATTGATGATTCAACAATTAATTACATTATGGATAAGAAAAACATTCTATCAAATATAAATGAACATTTTCTTAATTTTTTTACTTCACTTGGTGCACGATCGCTTTATACAAAAGGACGTATTGCTTATTCAATATATGTTTCACATAAAAATATTCCAACATTTTTTCAATTGAATAATTCAACCGAGCTACTTTTACGAGCGTTTTTAACGTATTTAAATAATTATTTTTTAAATAATCATCAACAATCTCAGGCATATCTATCGATTTTAAATTGGATTCATAATATGGCAGATATCTATGGATTTGTTCCCTATTTTATTAAAATTGGTTATCCAAATACTATTATACAATGGATGTCAAGTGAACAAGATCATACAAAAAATATTTCTCTTGAATCATGGTCTTCGATTATTAGTATATTATATAATCTAGCTCGGCATCCCATTGGGGTGAAAGAATTGAATGAGTTAAAAATGATTGATATTCTCCAACAATGGAAAGAACGATATATGTCCGAAACATTACTTGTTGATTATAATGAAACCAATAAAGAGATTCTTATAGCTTATTATCTTCTTTATGCAGCATTATTGAAACCGAAAGAATTAAAAAAAGAAAGTATATCTAATATTCAAACAATTCTCGATTATGTTCTTGAACAAACAATGAAAGCATTTGATTCTAATGATCTTTGCTTTGGTTCATATAATGTTTGTGAATATTTAGACGGACTGGCTAAATGAATTGTTAATGATACATTTCTTATTTATATTATTTCACGTGAAAATATCTATGAATTATTGATTGAAAAATTTCTTTTATTTAATAACATATGTGAATTAACAATACTTAATACAACTATTTGCTCATCATTTTATACAATATTTTGGTCAATTAGTTTTCTATCTGAATATAGTATTAAATTAAAATCAAATGATGAATTTCTTTCATTAGTCGAAAAACGAGTCAAAAATTAATCAAATGATGAATATGCTTTAGATATGAAACGAGCAGCTAAAGGAATTCTTTTTAATCTTGATTGTTTACAAATGGATATACGATCAATTGAAGATAATCATAATCATAATAGTGATGATAATCAAATAAAAGTTATGATTTCTTATTCACATCAAGACATGGAATTTTGTAAAAATCTTGTTAAAAAAATTCAAGAACGTTTTCAAGGTGATATTTGGGTAGATTTTGATAAATTATCGCCACCATATGATGATGATTGGGAAGAAATTGCTAAAGCTATAACTGAAAACGTAACAAACGTATGGTACCTATTTATATAGGACAAGATTATAAAGCAGAAGATTGGTTTGAAATTCGTGCTGGTTCAGCAACATGGGTACATTTTGGAGCTAAGAAAACTGATGAAGAAGTTATGGAAAATCTGTTAAAATTAATTACTGTACGGAATCAAGTAAAACGAAACGAGAACAAACTTGATCCTTCACATCGATCACATTTGAAAAGTAAATCAGATGTTGATTCAAACACGACTATCAATATTCAAACTAATGAAACATCATTACCTGTAAATTCTCATTAAAGCATAGAAATTTCTGATATACAATTGCAATCAAATTCTACTGTATCAGACATTATACCTATTTTTTCAATTGAAGAATGGACTTGTGAAGAAGTACAACAATGGCTTCATTTACCACCATCTTCTCTTCAACTATCATCTGGTCGAGCTTTACTAACATATATGAATTTATTATCACATGACGATACACAATATGATGAATACGAACATCGAATGCGTAATCATGGTGTAAGTCAAGAACAATTTTCTAATTTAATATCATTATTTGCATCTGTTCGTTCATTAAATGATACTGAAACAACATCATCTAAATTACCTGAGCAATGGACACGCATAGAGATAAAATATTGGTTTCAGCAAAATCATTTATCTGATGATTTATTAAATGTATTGAATTTAATCGATGGATCTCAACTTATTATGTATGGACAATTAATTATTGATTCATCATTACGTATTCATGAAGAATATAATCGATTGAAAAATAAGATTGGAAAAGATGTTTTTCATCTCAATGAATATAGTCGACTTTTGAGTGGTTTGAAAAAACTTGTCAATCAGTCAAAATCAAAAGAAGAACCTATTTCATGTAATATTCTGTAGTTTTGTTTTATAAAATATCTCTAATTTTATCCCATGATTGTTGTAACTTCTGGCCTTACTTGATGAACAAACTATTTTAAACCATACCATTGACAATCTAATTCACTTTAGAGATAGATTTTTCTTATTTTCTACGTCTTATAATAAATGAAAATTTGATATTTTTTATGTCTTTTATGAAGAAAAAAATAGTGAAGTTTGCAAATTTCTAAGACTGATCGATGAGAAACGAAGATAAAGAAAAGAAACTCTTGCGCCATGATTAGCTAAATAAAAAAAAAGTAACATTACCATGACGATAGTCAAAAACACTTTGCTCCAGAGATGAGATCGGTTGACATTTATTCCTAGCCGAACTGACCGAATTTTTAAAAATTTTAAACTGAATCGAGTTTAGAAAAAACATAGTTTATCTTATGTTAATTATGGTATTAGTTATATCTCACTGAAGAAACTGTTCAACTCAAATTAAAAAACTATGTTTGATTATCGGTAGATAACATGAGAATTCATATTAAAAAATATTAACCATATTTTTGAGAAAAACTAATATTTAGTGACAATTCTGTTTCAATGAAACTATCCGGAGAATTCTGTTCCCAATATGAGAACAAAATCTTTCGCAGAAAGCTTAATTCTGCTTAAAAGACTGTTCACACACATCATCTTGTAACAGAAAAAATTTTCAACAGTTCTTTAGTTGATTTGATCTGAACACAAGCTATTCGTAGTTACATCGATACAATAATAACAAAATAAAAGCTTGAAAATTTTGTAAATTTCACGGACAACTAAGTCGTAATGATGGAAGTATCTTTACAAAAATAAGAAATAGATGAGTTTTTGAGAATTGTACAATCTCTAAATGTCAATGATAGGAAGATGTAGTTGAATATTATGATATATTTGAGATTAATCAAATAAATAATCAATACAGGTGATAGTGATACAGTTTCCAAGTTTATATTGGTCTTCATGATATTTAGGAATCACAGAACAACGAATAGAGCATCAATAAAATTAACAAAACCGATTGAAATCAGGTGTGATTTCAATGATTTTATTTAAAAATGCTATGAAAACAATGAGTCGTATCGTGTTCGATGTTTTATCTTTGATCAACATTATGATATCAAGTTTTCATTCAATAGAAACACCCTATCAATTTTATTCATATGAAAAATTATTGATAAACTGCGCACAGTCTAAATAATAAACTTCATAAGAATTATTTTGAACAAATAACAGATTCGTATTCGAATGGCTGCATAAATGAATATTTTTTGTTGTTTTTATGTCGAAATATGTATAATTCAAATTGGCTTTCTTAGATATATAGATGGCAATAAATTTTAATTACAAAAGAAACACGCATAATGGTATATTTTAATTACTTCTTAGATTTTATTTGCTTTGCTATTTCTTATGTCTGTGCAAAATATATCCTATAAGCATCAGGGAATATATAAGTCAATATATCAAAAGCTTCAATGATAAATTATTATTCAATTGTTTTGATAATATTATTTGATATGAAAGTGGATTGATTAAATGTAATAAGTGAGTTAGTATGAGTTTTGCCTAAATAGAATAGTCTGTTACATTTTTTCTCACAGAAATAGTCTTCGACATCATTAAAATCATTTCATTGATGAAAAAGACACTCTTATGTTTTATTTAAGAGAAAAAAGACATGCAAAAACTCAAAAGATTCATGCCAATCTACAGAGATGAGTTGTGTCTAGCAGCTGATAAGCAATTTCCTGTTGGACTGAACTGAGCTGATCATTTTCCATTTTCAAATTCAACCATGCCTTCCACACATTCATCTTAGACTGACCCACACCCTGGGCATCAGTATGCGTTTCGTAGTATATCATATCGAATAAATCAGAATTATAAGTGTAATTGGAAGGAAACGAAAGACTTTATTTGATAATTTAATTAGTTCGACCATAGCATGTTGTACTTGAATTCTTTCTCAACAGTAGAGCTGACTCTCGTTTCTTTGTTTCAATTAGCATATGTCTGTGTATTCATCTTCTTCTTGAAAGGTCTAGTCTTCGATACATTAGTCTTCATGGTCTGAATCAGTATTTTACACATTAGATAATCTTTCAAGTGCGAAAGAGACACTTCGGTTATTATTGATTAAGGATGGATGCGAAATATCTGAAATCACTAGAAAAGGAGACAATGCTACTCAAACAGAGAGTTTCTTTCGTAGTAAGTGACAATCAACATGATCATACGATTTCGGTGTATTGGCTTGTAACCATTCAAAGATAGGACGGTAGTATACTCTTTTAAGCTGGAAACCAAAAGCACCAAAGATATCACTGCTAGTAATGAAACACGCTCCGCTGAGCCATTCTGTATGATTTTTATGACATATAATGGGTCCTAACAATAGAACGTCGGCTTCAAGACAATGCAATCTAATGCTATCAAAACGTCGAAGATCTAGAGGAGCTTATTTCTTAAAAGTATCTGCAACACTTGTTACTCATTGATCATAACCTGAAATCGTAATAATATATGCTACATATGTCGATCTATGGTCTTTCAACGTTTGCAGTATCGATGAAGTTTTGAAGAAGTTAATATAGTTTGAAAATATAGTAGTAACAACAATAATCTCACAGACTATACAAATGCACGCGTATTTTGACTTTAACTACCATATCCGAATGAAGTTCATCAAGGTTGCATTCAGTTCATCGAAACTGTGTGAGTATTGTTCTTAAATGTAGTTCGACCAATTGATGAATACAAATTCTTTCTAAAGATAATAAAAAAAAAACAGCTCATCACAAGAATCCAACAATGATGACAGACCACTAACTACCACACATTTCATTGACATATCACAACGGTAGTTTACCGTAACAATGAACAGTTTTACGGTACCTAATCGTAGCATAAATCGAGAAACAACTGAAAATAATGTCTGAGTCTAATGCATAATAAAAGTAAGCTAGATTGCGTTTTGACACTGTTTTAGACTAACGTAAGTGTAAGAAAATTTTTTTCAATTAGAGCATCAAACACGAATATAGCTTATCAATATTAAATTAGAAAGATGGAATTTATGTATAAGCAGATGTTGAATAAGAATAAAACAATCATCGAAAGAGGAGAAATTTAATTTATCGATAGAAATAAACTCTCTTAGAAAGAATATCAATAGTTGTCGCTCGCATCCAAACTACTTTTAGATGTGTTTTATAGATGGTTGAAACAAAATGAGCAAACAATTCTGGACCCTGAGTCATGCCATGTTGTCTTTCTCTCTCGTTTTCTTCAGATAAAGACGGTACACTAACAAGTACATATTTTATTATTCTAATTTTAGTTTATAAATTAATACCATGGTATTAGAGAATATTTTTGTAAGTTATCTTTGTTTTTATTACTTTTAATTATTCAAACTTATAATTTCAACTATTTTACAGGTACCGTCATTATATGTTATTAAAGGGATTATTATTTTAGACAATGATGGTAACCGTATGTTAGCTAAAGTAAATAAAGTTTAAATCATATTTATATATATATTCATTATGTTTTTTATTTCAATTTAGTATTATAATCAATTATTTTCTACAGTAAAAGAACAAAAAGAATTTGAAAAATCATTATTTAATAAAACTCATAAAGGTTCAGGAGATGTCATTCTTCTTGATAATTTAACCATTGTCTATCGAAATAATGTTGATTTACTTTTTTATGTTATCGGTAGTACAAATGAAAATGAAGTATGAAATTTTTCAATTTAATATAAAATCTTTTTATAAATATTGAAAATATTTAGTTAATGTTAAATGCTATTTTAACATGTTTATTTGAATCATTAAATACAATGTTAAGAAAAAATGTTGAAAAAAAATTTCTTTATGAAAATCTTGATTTAGTTATGCTTACGCTTGATGAAATTTGTGATGATGGGTAAAATATTCAATAGAGCGTTTTATCCTTGAAATAAATAATAGATTTTGATGTGTTTTTTTTTAAAGAATTATTCTCGAATCAGATCCAATGTTAATTACTCAACGTGTTCAACTACGTCAAGATGATATTCCATTAGGCGACCAAACTGTTTCACAAGTGAGTACTTGAATATTAAAAAAAACCTTAGTGTCAAATAGAATAAAATAAGAGATATTTACCCTTTTTTTGTCCATCAGATTTTCTATCAGGGACTCAATATGTTACTCAATGCTGATTGATAGAAAATATAGAAATGATATATGTGCGTGTATGTGCGAGCTCTTGATTCTGCTCAGTTTCTTTTTTCTTGCTCCTACAATTATTTAGACTTTAACAACTTTATCTATATTTCATCCGACGTTTGATGTACGAATAATTGTGTAATTGATTGAAATAAAAAAAAACCAAATAGCCTAGCATGATGATGGATGTTATTTTTTTGCAGTGATTGCATGATTTAAGATTTTATGTCTTCTCAATATTTATTCTATTAGGTACTCAATCATGCTAAAGAGCAAATCAAATGGTCATTGCTTAAATGAAATAAAATTGGCTTGACACAAACTTTCATTTGCTCGTATTATGACTATTTGATTCGCTTTGTTTCTTTTTTTTTTGTCTTTAAAAAAAAATAAAATTCCATGTGTTCACATCAATTAATTATTATAAAATAGACAAAAACATTTAATATCTTTTTTGTTGTTATTATTTTCTTTTCGATGATGATTTCTGTTCCAAAAGCAGCAGATGATCGTAAGCGATCAGAACGTGGTAAATGGTGGCTTGAATTTATTGGTTTTTGGTATATTCTTTTTGTTTTGTCCAATATATGACTGTAGCATATGAATCTAACATATTTTAGGCTTCTTGGTCTTTGCAATAATTTTGGTTATGTCGTGATGTTAAGTGCTGCTCATGATATTTTGAAACAAGAAGAGAATGATAATTCGACTCAACCAGTGTCACATAATACAACAAATCAATTTAATTGTAATCCCATCTCAACAGGAGTGAGTAGATGAGATCAAATGAAAAATGTTATGTAATGGCAACTATAAGATACCTAAATAAAAGAGACTACTACAATATGAGAGATGTAAAATGTAAGAGAGCACGAAAGTTTTTTTCTTTTCAGCTCCCGGGATCCAAATTTTATTGCTTTTTTTCCAAGGAAGATTTTCAACATAAGAAAAGAAAAAAATCGGTTTTTTCAACTTTGAAGATAGGTTACATTATAAATAACTGCAGAGCATTTATTCAGTTAAATAACATTTCTTATCGACGCATAAGGTCGAGTGCACTATCAACTGCATTCAATCGCATAGATGCCATTGAAAATAGTAACCGATCTGACGTTTTGAAATCGATCAACGAATATTTTACTAGTGAAAGCTTATGTTAATAAATGATAGTCTTCAAGCGACTGGAGTACTTGCAAACGTATTTTGTTCTTTTGGTTTAATAAATAATTCGACTTATCTTTCATGTTGTTGTTTTTTCGAACTTTAAAATTGTCCAACCTTGTTCAACTGATGATCATTATGATGATAAACTTTTTATAATGTTTGTATCGATTATGACATTCCATCTTTTCGAAATACTTTTTCTAAAAAAAAAAACTTTTAATAGTGCAATTCTAAGTTGAACCGGGCTATCAGAAAGTGGTTCGATTCCAAGGCTTAATGCAAATCTTAGTACCACCAGTCATGGAATGACCATGGACAAGCCACTAATTGCTATTTGTCTCGGATCAGTTGTCCAATAGCATATTGATAATGTTGTGACATATATCTGTGATTGGGATTAGTTAATTGTATAATAAGTTCTGCATCAAGCCAATCTTCTATCTCGAACTACAGCTAATCTGAAATGCAGAAGTGTTCTTCCTTCCATATAGTACATAGAAATATTGAATTCGACATAAGAGTTATTTAATATTGATATAAATTTTGAAGATAACAATGTTTTAAATTTTACTGATGTATTGATTTTAATTATGACAATCATTTTTTAGGCTATTCTACTAGCGGATATATTGCCAGCACTAATTATTAAAGTAACAGCTCCATTTTTTATGCATAGAATCATATATAAGTAAAAGCTAATCATTATTTTGTTTTTGTCTAACTAATGCATTGATTTCTTTTTTCATTCAAGTATTCGTTTTGTTTTGATTGTATTATTTGCTGCTAGTGCTTTGATCATTGTTGGTACTTCAAAAATAGTTGCTTTGAGTTTATTTGGTAAGTGAATTGATATTAGTTTATGAAATATAAAGTAAAATTCTAAATCAAAGGTGTTGTGTGTGCAAGTATTAGTGCAGGTTTTGGTGAAATTACAATGTTACAATTAACATCTTTCTATGCAAAATATACAGTCAGTGCATGGTCAAGTGGTACAGGTGCTGCCGGTTTACTTGGTGCTCTTTCATACGCAGGACTAACAAGTCTACTTAAATTAAATCCCAGAACTGCTATTCTTATTTTACTTTTCATACCTGTGCTTCAAGTTATCAGGTAAACAAAAGAATATAAGGAAAAACATGTATTTCTTGAAATTAAAGTTATTTGATTTATATATGTATATATAAAGTTATATAATGGTCGGAGCTAGTCAAGCTGCTGCAAAACATCGTCAATATCAACAAATAAGTGAACATATTACTACAGATGCTGATACAGGTAGAAAGAATAATAGATTTATTAGGCAGTTTCTATATATATTTTATCTGTAGACAATGAAGCTAGTGAAAAGATAATAAATGAAAAGGCAACATCGAAAACATTCAGAGAACGACTTAAACTAGTTAAAGTATACGATTGATAATAATGTTATTCTGTTTGTCTTTATTTTATTATTGATTGATTTATTATAGCCATTGCTCAAGTATATGATTCCATTGACAATTGTTTATTTTGCAGAATATTTAATCAATCAAGGACTGGTAAATATGAGTCTTTTTGTTTTTGAGATTAACACATTGTTTAATATGAACTATGGATTGAAATTTAGAAATTTGATTTATTTATAAAATGATTTTTAAAGTATTATGCTTGTATGTTTCTTCATTTAGTATGAACTCATCTTCTTTCGTAATACAAGTATTCCACATCCTGCACAATATCGTTGGTAAGTAATAATAATAGGCATACAAGTTTAACACATTCAAAATGTATTGTTCTAATGAGAGAACTATCTTAACTGATACTTACTGTTTAAGTCAAGCTATGGCCATTTTACTGAAATTATGTTCATCCATAAATTCAATGAATCGTAGAATATACTGAAAGTTTCAATCAAAAATAATGTTCTTTGGTCGAGATACTCAATTTTCAGAAAATGGCTGTTTGCTATAGATATGCTGTAAAACTTAAGTTTACTTGAAAATTCAATACTTCGACAAAGGAGTATTTTTATTTGTCTGAAATTTTCAGGACATTCTACTGGTCATTCGACTTTTTTATGGCCGAAATACTATTATTTGATTTGTCCCTGTATACTTAAAGTTGAACCATTTCAAACACAAGGCGTGAAATTTCATTTGGTACATTTTTATAATTAGATTTTCAGTGAGAAAAGGAGTACAACATATGTAGAATAGATGTGAGACTAAGGGTTTAGAGATTTTCTTTAAAACCAAATCCATATAGTGCACATTATATCGAACGGTCTATCGATGGTTTTTGTGCTGTTTGAATCATATGAGTAGTTAATAGAATTGTAAAATAAAATAAATAAAACATCAAAATTAAACGAAATAGTCTATTAATATTTGTGTTTCTACATTAATTAAAAACTATACTAATTATGAATGTGCTGCTTTTGTATCATACGAAATCTCTATTTTCAGGTATTCGGTTTTCTATCAAGTGGGTGTTTTCTTGTCACGTTCATCAGTAGCACTATTTAAAATTCATCGTCTGTGGATTTTACCGATTATTCAAGTTAGTTTATTAACACATTTTTTTTTCCGAACTATATATATTGATTTACTTAGCTTACTAATATGGGCATATTTTTTGCTTGTGTCTACCGTACGGCTCATATACCAAGTATATGGTTAGTTTTCGGTTTAGTCATATTTGAAGGTTTAATTGGTGGTGGAGCTTACGTCAATACATTTTACAAGATATCAACTGAAGTATGATTTAACTGTGAAAAAGGTGCAATAATAGGCGAATTATTGTTGTGATATTTTTTTTAGATACGTGAACCTGATCGTGAATTTTCAATGGGTGTTGCATCTATTGGTGATTCATTTGGAATTACATTTGCCGGTTTATTAGCAATTCCACTTCATAATGCAATATGTCGATAATTGCTACGAGAAGTTTCTTTTTTTTTCCGTACTTAAATTTCTTAATGAAAAATTTATGTTTCAATTATTTTTTTTTATGAAAGTTATTGCATTTCTTTATTTTGTGTTTTTTTTGGTAATTTTTCTAGATGACTGAAAATGATTTTCGAAATAAAACTGTATGTGTAACAGGCGCTGGACGAGGTCTGTTATTTAAAAACTGATTTATTTTAATGTATTGCAAGAAAATGATTATTAAGGTATTGGTAACTCATTGGCCTTACGACTTGCTCAACTTGGTGCTAAAGTAATTGCTATTAGTAAAACTGATAAAAATTTGAATGAACTTGCTGCACAAGTAATGATATTGAAATTTTAATTTCTTATTTTTGTAAATATCACTTTCTTTTTCTTTTTATTAGAATAACAATATTATTCCAGTATGTGTTGATTTAAGTGATTGGAAAGCAACAAAAGAAGCGATTAAATCACATCTTCCAATTCAATTATTAGTAAATAATGCTGCCATCTCTATTCTTGATTCATTTCTAGAAATCAAACCAGACGATTTCAATACGTATGTAGACAAAAACAAAAATTATAAACAAAATATTTTTTTTTTTGCATCTATATTTCAAAGAGTATTTAATGTCAATGTTCGTTCAATTATTTGTATTAGTCAGGTATTTCGTGTTTACGGTAGATATTCGCTAAATTTATTTGTTTCAATTATTTTCTCGACTGAAAGAAGAGTTATACGAAATAAAATAAGTTGATATATGTATGTTTACTTGCACGTGTGTATTGCCACGTGTTGCCATGCATTCGCGTAACTTTAAGATAACGATTCGTGCTGATGAATTCTTGTTTTACCATATAGACATCAATAGTTGCATTCACACAAGCCCTTATGCATACATTTGACATGATTGTGGATTGTGATTTTTTAGTAGTATATTATATAGAAAGCTTTGAGCATTCAGTCAACGGTCACGCGAGTCGCAATAATAAACGTTACTTGTTCATAAAAGATTCATTGAAATATAATACTTTGATAGGAAATTGCACGTGATTTAATTGAACGTAAATTACCAGGCTCAATTGTTAATGTATCAAGTCTAGCAGCAGCAGCAGCATTGAAAGATCATAGTATTTATTGTTCATCAAAAGCTGCAGTTGATAGTTTAACACGTGTTATGGCATTGGAATTGGGTCCTCATCAAGTAAGAATTATTTTTTCTTCGATTACTATAAATCAACATTGACTTGTTTATTTTAGATTCGAGTTAATAGTGTACAACCAACAGTAAGTATTCAATATTGTGAAAAATTTTTCAATGTTTTTATTTATAATGTACAGGTTGTTTTAACAGATATGGGTCGAATGGGTTTGTATTTTTTTTTTGAAAATGCTTCATATTTGTTTTCAAATAATTACATTATTTCTACAGCTTGGTCTGATGAAAAGAAGGCAGCAGGAATGTTATCGAGAATTCCACTAAATAGATTTGCTGGTTTGTAAAAATTAACATTCACTAACAATTTGTTTAAGTTTATTTGAATAGAAGTGGAAGATGTTGTTGAGCCAATTATATTTTTACTTTCGAATAAATCTCAAATGATTAATGGCACTTGTTTACCTATAGGTAATGTAAACAAAAATCAACTTAAAATACCTAGAATTGAGTTATTTTAAAATAAATAAAATTTTCATTGCATTTTAATAAATACTTTTTTATTTTTAATTCTTATTCTTTTTTTGTTGATGAATTTAGATGGTGGATATTTGGCAACATAACAAATTACAAACACTAAGGATTGTCTTTTTTTGATTATAGTTTTTAGTCGTAACATTTATTTCTTGTCACTTATTTTATTTGATTGAATGCAATAAATTGAGATCGTAGTTCTTCAGTTTTATAAAATAGTTTTCTTGATTTTCATTGGTTTTTATAAAAGTGAGAAATGAATAGCGAATGAGACTTACCGGTGTGTTACCATGATCGTTTATAAAATTTTATCAAAAAAGGCTTTCAGAATCGAATAAAATTGATTGAGAAATCGATTATAGAAGGAATTTCTCAAATTCGGTGACCTACAATTTTGTTTTCTACAATTACTGCCATACAGTTGCAGGTGTGCTTTGGGTTTTCTAGACAATATTTTAACAATAATCAATGGCTTTATTAAAAATTTTTACGTATCAATATCAGCACAGCATTCCTAATAAACTGATATAATTAACTCTTTTATAAATGAAGAAAAAATTTTAGGCTTTCAGACTGCTAAAGAGAGATACAGAAAAATTTGTTTGTAATATGAACATGAGATATTTATAGATTTTTCTAAAGTTTCATGTATAAATCAAAACTGGATATTCGAAATAAAACTTGATAAAAAATCGTGATTTTCTACAAATACCTATCCCTGATGACAGAATCAAATGTACAAATTTTCCGATATCTAGTAACGGTAACTTCTGTTTCCTAGAAATGAATAACACCATAGAGTAAACTAATAATATGCACTATTTCTATTACAAACTAATTCACTATACATATATCATTGATTGAAGTATGGAGAAGAATGTTCAATATGTTATAGTATAGAACTCTCTATATTTGAAAATATTTAAAAGAAATCGAAATACAGATGTTGATCTTTATTTAAATTACAGTTTTGTTAAATTATCGAATTCCTTTCGAATATTGATAAACATGTATCGAACTTATGCATTCAGAAAAGTAAATGTTTCTTCGATATTGGTATAATATCATCAATACACTTGTTTTTTTTTTATACAAACGTATCAATACAAGATTTCTTTGAATTTATATAAATGAAGTAGTTTCTCATCTATTGAATCTGCTGAACTGTTTATTCATCTGGAATAGAAGGAATTTTTTCTTTTCTTCATTCTATGATTCATATTTAACTGCTATTAAGATGAGATTATATGAGAGAAGGCAATTTTATAAATAGAAATCTGAAAGAATAGTTTACTCTATAACTTTTCTACTCAAATATATTCTAATTCTCTGTGACTTTATCACTTCCGTACTTACATAGACGTAGAAAAGATTGTTTGTAATCATTATATTGCCTTTTCAGCTCGCTTCATTATGAAACAAATTCATTAGCTACCTATAATGAGTATCTAAGATAGATCACGTTCCAAATTCACTAAATTATACAACAGTATGACGTATACATATATTGACAAAATATATTTTTTTCACCATTCTTATCCATAAACGGAGAAGATTATTTTTTGATATTAACAAGACAAGTGCATTTGCTATCATATTTAGTCAACATTGTAAAAACGCAATAGAATATATTTTTATGTTGGATTAAAAATGCCAATGAAAACTTCATCTAATGTCGAGTAATAATATCAAAATAGTTCTATAATCATAATAACAGACTATTGATCGTGATGAAATATTTGCGCATGATGTTAAGTCACGTATAATCCTGAATGTATGATTTGAAATTAGAGTTTCGAGTACCGTTTGACGTTCGAACTCGTCCTGATGGACTTCATTTTGATTATTTTGATTTAGAAGACTAATGATTCAATATCAAATAATTAGCAAAAGTATTTATAATCAATCAGAGATTCTGTAATTTTTTCTTAAATCAAAATCCAATATTATTTAAGCTATTACAATTTGTGTCCTTCCATTTGTTGTTATATTCTAAGAAATCGTAGTCATTGGCATATTGAAAAATCAAATACAAATGAATTCAATTGTTATGTCAATTATATTTTGTTGTTATTAATGAACACATTGTTCGATGTATAATACGATTTAATCGAAAGTTTTTCTATATAATGTTGGTAAATATAAATACATTTATTAAAGCACAAATCTCATTTTATATTTATATAATAAGCAAATTCTATCAAAGAACAGTAAACGTATTCGTTTCTATTTTACTTTTGATTTGGTCAAGTTTGTATTTTACCATTACATTTTATTAAAATTTCTTCCTACACTAAAGAAGAAACGAAGCACATTGAAAGAAGATTAAAATGTTATCTGAATTTAGATAAATCTAGAGATGCTACTTAAACTTTATCATACAATATTTTATGATCTGAAAGATTATAATTAATCATATTTTTGAATTCAGTGTGACTGATTCAAAGAATTTTTTGTATATTTAAAATAGATGTTTAAATAGAAAAATAAAAGAATTACTTTTTGAAATCACTTATTTATCATTGAAATTTCTTAAAATATGAGATAAGAACTTTTAATAATGCTATTTTTTATATATTATAAATTCATAAACTATCTTTCGAGATTACATCTATCTTTGTACTATTCTTCATTTAATTAAACGTGCGTGATAAACACTATTTTGTCCGCATTTTATTTAAATAAAACAAAGAAATAGAACATTTAAGAGATCTCAAGATATGAAGATTTTTTTTTCTCTTTATCTAAAAGAACATATATTGTGATTTTTATTACATATGATAGTATGTAAGTAGTTTTCTGTGTAATTAAGGTTAATTGGATAGCATGATGTTTCTCAAGAAGCTGTATTCTGTTTTATTTGTGGAGAAATAAGTAATTAAGACTTTATTTGATCATTACGATGACATTCTTTATCATAATTACTAATGATAGATTGCTTTATTACGGACATAGTAAGTCAAGACAATAAGAAAGTTTAACACAACATACTAGTTGATATAGAAAACAATTTAAATAACTCAGCATTGCATACTTCTTTGTGTAACAATGGATTTATCGATGTCAATCCTAGTTTTACTTGAAATAATAGCGGCATGCATTACGTAAATTAATTTTGATTTTGTTTTTTATATTTAATTATTGTTTTTAGTTATGGTTTGGGTTTTATTGGTAATTTATTATCATTAATTATCTTCTTTTCACAAGAAGAATTTCGAAATGTTTCAACTGGTGCATTATTTATTCTTATGACCTTTTCAAATACTATTCATTTATGCACATTAACAACAGAATTTCTTGCTATGTTTAATAGTTATGCTTATTCAAATGTATTTTTACAATGCCGACTTAATTATTTTGTACAAAATGTTAGTCGAACAGTGAGTACTTATTTAGCTGTTGCTATTACATTAGATCGATTGATTCGTTCGGAACTCCCGATGCGTTCAAGAATAATTTGTACGCGTCGAAATGTCATTAAATTGACTTTAATTTATTTAATGATTTTCTCTATTCTCTATTCATTTTGGTTTTGTCCAATGGTTACAATGAATCCTATTACGAATACATGTTCTACTAGTCAATCACCAATATATTATTATTTTATTAGTAATATTTATCTGCCAATACGATTAATTATTGTTTGTATTATTCCAGTTGTTATAATGAGTTTAGCAAATATTCGTATGTTACTTAATATAAAACAATCTCGACAACGTGTTGATCCAAGAAATCAAATAGATACAAATGTTACTGGAATAAGTATGAGTATAATAAATGGACGTATGACACCAATTGATCGAATGTTATTCTATATGATGTTGACTAGTGTTGGTACATTTATTATAACACAAATTCCATTTAATGTTTATACACTCATACGAGCGAATTATGACATATTTGATTTAAATACTCATTTATTGGTTCGTGCAATACTTTTAATTTGGTCAAGTATTTATTTTGGTATTGGGTTTTATTTATATTGTTTCGGATCACCACTTTTTCGTGAAAAATTCTTTCTTATGAGTAAAAAACTAGTGACTTGTATATGGAGACCTCGTCCAGCATGAATGAAAAAAGCATTATAAACTAGTAGTGTGTGCGCTTATTGTAAAAGAAAATTTTCTGTATTTTGTTTGATTGTATGTTCGTTTGAATAAATATATGTTCTTACAAATAGATAATTTAATTACTATTTGGGAAATATTATACAGTATGACTAGGGAGCTACGCGATAACTATGGGAACACCCATGGACATGGTCATGGAGTGTGATTATGTTTTGGTAGATCGACTTTTGTTGGATTGTTTATGAATTGCAACTTTTAGTGAGCAATATGTTGTATTTTCGCAATGTAAAAAAAAAGATAACATTCATATTGATGCATGTCATCAATTAGATTTTTTTAATGCTTTGAATTAATGGGATGTTGATACAATAGATTATATATTTTTTTTATTCAACTGTTTTTCTGCATGCTATCTACTTCAGAATATTCATTCATTACGAAAAACTTCTGATAATTATTAAACTAGAGAATCAAGAGAGAGCATGCACTTTTTAATTAATCGATGTAATTAGTCCGATTTAAAAATAAAACTTATTATCTTCTTACAATCCTAAGAAAAAAAAAAGCTTGTTAGCGCTACCTCATTGAAACTGAAATACGTAACTCATGTGTTTTTTAGTCTCATGATACTTATAAAAAATACATGAAGTGGCAACTCTCATGCAAACTATACTTGTTTTCCAAGATGATTGATCGTCGGACAAGCAATTCGTTTTGTTAATTTCTGCCTTTCGGCCAAAAATATTTTCTATTGTTTACTGACGTCTTTTTCGTATTCTGTTTTTTTTTAATCAACATTATTAGTATTATAATCATTGATTTTACTCACAAACAGGTCTATTATACAGATCAATTATATCTAAATCAGATCTAAACACATTATTATATATCTCAATAAGTTCATAAACAGTGTTATTGATTATTGTCCTGAGTTATAACTTGATCAGTTTACATTTTTTTATACTAACCATTTCACAGCTGTGATATCTCAATGTATCACGCTACATATCATCCTTGACATCTTACATGTAAGTTTTTCATCTGCATAAAAGTCAAGAAATACATTATTTAAAACATTCACAAATGTATACCAGTCGTTGAAATTTCGAAGAAGATTTTAGAATATTCTAGAACAATCTAAGTCTTATTGTTAATACTGTTCAGCATCTTTCGAATGCCCGCAAACTTTCAATTTAGAATTTATTCTATAGCAACTTCTAGAAGTGTTTTTGTCAGATTTTATTTTAGATTTCAGGATTTGAACTATAAATTTTTATTAGGACAGTTAGAACGCGTTATATACTATTAAATGATCAATTCTAACAACTTGACGGTTGTAGTAGTTAATATCGATGAGAGAATACGATATGAATATTATGAAATATGATTGATAAAATGGGACCTATTTAGGTTATTATGTCCATGAAAAAGTATTTCATGGCCCTTTGACTACCAGCTAAATGATTGCTGTTTTGTGAAACACGATCTAAAAGGAGTGTTGAAGTGTATAAGGTAGAAATTATCACCGATTTTTCTCATAGACCATGGCAGATGGCTTTCACAGACTACCACAAATACTGCAGACCTTGTTAATATACGATTAAAAGACCATATATCACTAGCACCTGATTATAGCATATGAACTACTTCCTGGTTGCATTTTGAGAGTGTTAAGTAAAGAATAACGAAGAAACATGTTGCAAAATAGATCGAAAAAGTCAATTTTCGTGGAATTAGAAACAACAGTTACGTCGTGTTTCACATTTTAATCTCATATGGATGACATTTTATTTATATTAGTCGGAACATATGTATCTTACAACCTTTAACCATAAATACTAAATATTTTTCGTAAGTCGTCTTTTTTATTACATTTGTTTTTAGAATCGTTATGAGGATTATTATCTGAAAGGTGGCTTAATGATTGTTTGGTGACGGTCAATAGTTTTTTCGAAATATTTAGAACGGCATAATTTGTTTTTTTTTTCGTCATGAATTATATACTATCGGATAGAGTTCGCGATTCTTCATTGATTAGTGTAGTTTTCAAAGGTGGCTTAAGCTTCTGGGCGAATCTTTACAAGTTATTCTTCCGGAAAGCTGTTTTTGAGGTTTCCAATTAACCGAGTCAGTTATAAAAGACGTTTATCGAGATGAATTATATGCCATGAGATAGAGCGTGAAATTCTGCATCGATTGACGTATAATTCACGAGTGGCTTATGTACTCAGGCGAATCGTCACGAAAAATACTCGAATCGGTTGCTAACTTTCTTTATATAGTTTTGTATCTTCGTAGATAACTGAAGTATCTTTACGATAGTAATCGAGAAAACATATAACGTGACAATATTTTGAATATTCTCACAGAAATACATGTCTTGAATAGCAACAAAATATAGTTGACAATGAGACCTAATTTATTTTGAACCGAACATAAATAATAATGAAAATGACATGAATAATACAAAAAAAAATTATAACCTTTCGATTTCTATTATTTCATAGATGCCAATGATATTACACTTGACCAATTTATTGAACAGATTCATTTTCAATGAAAGATCAGAGTGTTAACACCATATTCTTCATTCATATGTCTAATGTTGAACATATACGTGAAGTGTACTAACTAATAACATAAAAAAAAGTTCATAAAAATCCGCGCCTATTCCACCAGTTACGCACTTTGTCTCAAGCACTACTAAAGTTTCATAAGAATTTCAAAAAAGAGAAATAATTAGATTTAAAATTTTAGGTAGCGAAATGCTTGTTTCTCAGGCTTCATAGTCAAACAAAAAGTTGCTAATACTGATGTTTACTTTTTCTAATACAAGAACAATTTTTCACTAATCTGGAACGTAGATGCATATAATCATATGGACAACATTCTAGTACATTAATAAACAACAAGAAGAATGATGATTTGTCATGAATGCCAAATATTGAAGTCTGATTTTGGTTACCATCAGTTTCAGTAGCTGCTGCCAACTGAGTCAGGTGTGAACGAGTTTGTTATGTTGCGATGTATGTCTAACCAATATATATTTCTCGAATGATTTGTTCATACTGTAAATAATCTGAACAACTTTAATGTCATGGTACTATTTAATGCAAAGCGATGTTGCACGACATAGAAGATCAGCTTTAAATAATTGAACTTGAACAGTGTAATTTTCTGTCTTTATTCATAGTAACGATGTAATTTTCATTAACTATATATTCCATGTATTGACACGAATTTGCGTATAGTAACAATGGTGCAGGTTCGTTTTCAGACAAATAAATTACGAAAAGAAGTTTGCTTTTAGGGTATTAGCGTACAGAAGCCGATAGTACTAGTATTGTTCTACTAACTGGATAAAATGTTTTAGCTTTCGTTGTGATCGCTTGTATTCCATCTACATGTAACATTATTTTTAAATCATAAAGTTTACTATTTTGATGAAATTGTCGATAGAATCTACTGTTGACTGTATCATTAGCCAGTTGAAGACAAGCACGTTGCTGACAATTAACTATTAAACGCTGATTATGTTTTAGAATACATTGTGTTCGTTGGAAGATATTTAATTCACATAGTATGAAACTTCTATGAATTTTCGAAGAAAATAGTGAGTGCAAGTTTTAAGTCGAAGTTTTATGACTCCACCTGCCTCCGTATAGGTCTTAGCAATTACATCTTTAAAAACTGTTGGGCTGCTTTTATACAATTGCTGTAGATTCAAGAGGAAGTCCACAGAGAACCATCAGCAACTCTCTAGGAATTCGATAGTACTTAGACACTTTCCGTGGATTTTTGTGAACTCCTCGGACATTTTTCCCGGAAGAGTGATTGCGGATATTTTATTAATAATGAACGGTAACAAAATGTAAAAGCATATACTACTGCTTATGAAATCAGTTCATTGCTTTATTTACTTTAACATATTTCTGAACTAGATGTCGAATGCAGGTAAAAGTCTCGCTCTATCTCATTGCTTCTATCAGATTTTTCTTTCTTTGCTTTGCCTTTCTCTAAAAGATATCCTGTCTCTCTTTCTCTTGGCTCAATCCATTGACTCTATCTACAATAAAAATTTCATATTATGCTAATAGTGTGTTATATATTTAAGAGAACCCTATAAGACTTAAAGAAACCAAAACATCTGTCAAAATTTTATTTTTTGATTTGATGTTCTCATCTTGATCGCCATCATCTTAAACCAGAGTTCTGTGTGAGAAACTTTTTCGTGTACTTTCCCGAAAATTTTTCAATAGAACCGACTTTAGTTTGTCCAATCCCGAAATTTGTCAAAATGTGCCGATCCTGATTGTTCCCTTCCGAAGTTTCTTGATTCATCCTGTATAGTTCCGTTCTGATTTCAACTTTAAAACGATCTATTAAACATGACTGATGAATTTAATCGATACTATATCAGAATTCGAGCTATTTTGGGAATAGATTCAAAAACAATCTTCGACAAACTTAGAGAAGCATTGGGACCTGATGCTCCATCATATCCAATGGTCAGAAAATGGGCAAAACGTTTTCGTGAAGGAAGAGAAGATGTCAGTAATGATCCTCGATCTGGTCGTCCGATTTCGGTACTTACAGATGAAAAAATTGAGCGCGTTCGACAAGTTATCGAAGATGATCCACACTCAACTTATGATGATATTACGATTGAGACCGATCTATCTCGTGGTACAATAGAACGAATTATTCATGATTGTCTAAAGATAAGAAAAGTTATATCAAGTTCGGTTGCTCATAAACTCACTGACGAACAAAAACAAGAACGATTTAGAATTTGTCGTCAAAGTTTAGAGAAATTCAGAAACGGAACATGGCGATTATGTGATATTATTACTGGTGATGAGACATGGATTTATCACAGACAGATTGGTCGAAAGTCAAGCAATTCTACCTGGGCTTGTGAACATGAAACACCAAGGACCGTTATTCGTCGGAATAGATCTGAACCTAGAACACTGTTTTGCTTATTCTTTACATCCACTGGTCCTGTTCTTATACATAAAGTAGATAAAGGCAAGACTATCGATCACAGCTATGATATTGAAAATTGTCTCATACCTGTTATCAATGAAATAAGAAAAAATGGAAAATCGTCACGCACAAAATATAAACTGCTTCATGATAATGGTCGTCTTCATACTCATCGAGATGTTGTTAATTATTTAACAGAGGAAGATATTGAAATAATCCCACATCCACTACATTCACCAGATCTTGCACCGTGTGACTTTTAGCTAAATGATTATATCAAGAGAAATCTGGCTGATCACACAAACGAAGAATCATTGGTTCAGGAGGTTTCCACCATAGTGAAAAATATTCCAATAAACGAGTTTAAAAGGACTTTCGATAAACTGTTAGAAAGGATGGAACTGTGTATAGAAAATAGTGGTGCTTATTTTGAGCATTTCATAAAATAAAACTACGAATATTTTTTCCTTTTCGTATTCTGGTTTTATGTTGTCATAATCTTTTCTTGGGCATAAGTACTATAGATTTTATCTAGCAAGATGTTAGAACTAAATCCAAGATAGAGCTGCTCTATAGATTATTGAAGACTAGACGTTATACTATAAATTCCCATAATGAAACATTCAATATTTACTGTTTTATAAAATTTTAAACATTGTGATTCAAACTTTTGATACACCCTAAGTATTTAACATCATCCATTGAAAACATATCCTATGCAATAATTTATTTGAAATTGTTTTCTTTTCATACTTATGATTTTCATATTGGTTTTCGATGAAAAACAAATTGGAAATTAACTCTTGAAAATTGTATAGGAAACAAAAGCAATTGGGTTTTTGTTCAATGTTAAAGTTCGAAAAAAATGCTCAAGATATAGTGCTTCCCAGTTAACTATCAATGAAAGATTCACAATTATAAGAATCCAAAGAATACAATGGTCGTTGATTTGATAATGAATGTACCAATAAAAGTTAAGTAGAACCACCAACAAGACTAATCTAAAATGTCCACACACTACCCATTAGTTGTACTTTCAAACGTTTTGCATCTTTTTGTCAAGACTAGTCACTTTTTAAAAGAATGTCCTTCAACAAAGTTTCGAGTAGCCCAAAATGAACCTTATTCACGATGAAATTTAAAACTCTTAATAAAATTGTATAAAATAACATTTTAGAGTTTTTATTGGCATGTAACAAATCGGCTAGACGATCGGTAAGTGAAATATTATGTGCATATTCAAATTTAACATTTTTCTTTATGTTTCTATCATTTAGATTAGTCCAAACTTGTCGTATGCAGCGTTCAAGATGTGGTTCCCTTTTTTAAGTCAAAATCGCTTTTATAACAAACATCACAACGGTATCATACGGCTTTTTTTCTCTCAAAAAGATTAGACATAAAAAACAGAATGACGGACACATGTTAAGCAGTAAGGACAAGAGCTGTGAACCACAAATGATTTCGAATTAGCCATGTACAAGGACTTTTCGACAAAAATCCTTGACAAAGACGCACCATTATGGCTAGAATGTGAATGTAGGATGAAGAGAACCATTATCGCAACATCCATCCACACCCACACTCCGTAAATAAAAAGAGAAAGCCGACAAGAACAGATAATTAATATAAAAAAATATTGTTAATATTGTATATGATGAGGAATTGTATTTTTCAATCGTGCTTCATCAAGAAAAATATTTTTTTATGGTACAAATTAACATTCATATTCAACTGTGTACGAGTATTTTTTTTTATAGTAGAGACCCAGGTCAAAGAAAACGGCGTCGTAAACGACCCTAAACGGTATAAAACGGCGAAAAACGGCGCTATTACGGGCCGTAATCCGTCAGCCCGTTTTACGACCACCGTTTAGTGCAGTAAACGATCATCGTTTTTACAAGGAACGGCCATCGTTTTTCGCCGTATTTTTGCCGTAAAATGGGATGGTGAAAATAATGTGAGAAGCAATATTGTATAATATTGGACGATATTGTATGGAGACCGTTTTTCGGAATACCGTTTTACGGCTAAAATACGGTGAAAAACGATGACTGTTTCTTGTAAAAACGATGATCGTTTACTGCACTAAACGGTGGTCGTAAAACGGGCTGACGGATTACGGCCCGTAATAGCGCTGTTTTATACCGTTTACGACGCCGTTACGAACATCCGGAATGATCGACCTGGGGAATAGTTTCATAGATATTATAAAAAATATTTGAAGTTACTAAACTTTGTTATTGATACTTCGACATAGATAGATCTTTTTTTCTTGAAACTTATCCTATTCAAAGATTTTGAAAATATTTTGACAAACCTATTCGCAGCTCATATTACTCATTTTGACATATAATGAATCAGAATGTGAAAAAAAAACAAAACAAACATAATGATGATTCATGCATCGTAGCTAATACAATGTTATACAAGCTAATAGCTATGGTTTCAGTGTGAACAAAAATTAAAATAAATTGTTATTTTTTTATTATTTAAATTTAAAACATAGAAATTAATTTATTTTCATCTACAAAATTATGATTACTACTCAACAAATATATATGACTGTATATAAGTAGATTCGAATCGTTTCCATATTCAAATATCAAACGTTTTATGTATTCCTAGTCGTAAAAAAATTATTTAAACATAGAACTGTTAATCATATACACGCTGTTCTTACAATCGAACATTAAAAACATTTATGTACAAACATTACAGAACTATACACAAAGAAATTAACTTAACGTTTACAAGAAAAATTAAGAACTAATTCTCATAAAACCTTGAATTTTTTGTCTACAAATTGGACATGAATGAAGTGCATATCCACAAGGAACACAAGCACATAAATGTCCACAAGGCATACATGCTAATTGTTTCTCTTCAGTAAGACATATGAAACATTCACCTAATGATTGTTTTAATGATTGAGATGAACTATTTAATTGTTGAGATTTTGATGGAATTCTTATATTGTCTGCAGAACCTTGAATAATATCAATTTGTTTTTGAAGAATAGAACAAGCGATTGTTAAATCAATATCTGATTTAAAATCATCATTTTTAATTTTTAATTGATCTTCAATGCAACGTTTAATTATTGCTAATGAATATTGGGAACGAAGACGTTCAACTATAGGTAAATCAAGTCGTGCTGCAACTAAAGGAGTAAGTTGATCTTTATCAACTTTATTTTTCATTAAAATAAGTTTTTTTTTCGATGTTTGAATTTTTTCATATAATTGATTTCCACATAAATTTTTAGCATAAGTACAATAAGGAAACCAACGAGCATGTTCAATCATAGGATTATCTTTGGAACCCCATTTATGTAATGAACCATTACAATAAAAACATGTTACTGAATTATTAATACCAGCACAAAAGAATCCTGCACGAACTAAACTTTCAATACTTGGCAAATTTTCTGTCCAATTAGCATTAGAAAATGTTGCCTCTCGACGAGATATTTCAGCCATATTTGGATGGGATGGTTCAAATTTTTCGTCAATTGTATCTTTAATTATATTTGGTGAACTATTTACTGAAGGCATTGAAAGAATAAATGGACATTGTGGAGCAAATCTTGTATGAACTTCCACTGGATCATCATTGATTGTCCATCCATGACAAATTGTATTGCAATATATACAAATAACACGATCATTAACATTACATGAAAACCAACCAGCAGATGCCATTGATTCATTACTTGGTGTAAAATGTGACCAATGAGAAAGACTACGAATTCGAGCTTCTCGTATTGATTCCGATTCATTTAAAGAATATTTTTTTTGAGCAATAACTTCTTGTTTTGGAATATCTATTTTTTGAGTAACAATTGTATTTTGTTTTTCCATCTTACCTTCATGAAAACAACTACTATGCCGAGAAGATTGTTTGATGAAATCTTTAGTTTGAATTATGTCAACAGTAGTCATATCTATATGAAATAATTACGTTTTAATACAATGATACTGATGAATGTTATTTTTATATTATTGTAACTGATATTCATTTTAAGGAAACATCCAATACCATTATTTTTTTTTCTGATTCATGCATTATTATTATACGTGATTCATTGTGAAAGAAAAGATAATCATTTACCTACCACACTTTTTATTTACTTTGTGACTAAACATTACTGTAGGCTTGCCTACATAACTTCTTTTTTCCAGTTTTACATAAATGAAAAGGTTTCGCTTAGACTTTTATCTTGATGTTTGAAATATTCTTCCTATCACATGTCAATTTAGAATTTATTCTCAACAACTTTGAAATTTTTCGAATATTAACAAACTACATTAAGATAACACTGTTATTCTTTACCCATGTTAGAATATTAAATTATTCATCTATTGTATTGTAAGTTTTTCTTTTGAAATTTAAATAAAATTCAATTATAATTAAAATCATTACTTTTTTCTTTAAATAGATTTGACATTCTTGCTAAATATATTTCTAAAACATTATTTTTTATTTTCATTCTATGCACACTCTGGTAAAAATATTCATTCTCAATTCAATGATGCATGTAACATAAAGAACAACACGTGGCAAACCGTCTACACCTTTTCTATTGACATTTTTTTTTTGCTCGGTTTACCTACATCCCAATAAACAACTGGTTCTTATCAATACATCAAAGAAAAAAAAACGAATAAGAAAAAAATCAAGAAAAAATTTTCAGTGGATTCAAAAATCAGTAGATCTGTTTTGAATTGAAAGGTTTTAAAACGAAACCTATGTTACTTACTATAATTATGTTTCAAATTGAAAAATTAACATTGTTTTTTGACTTCGGCACATAACATCGATAAACAAACAATCCTAGAAAAATTAATTTATTCAAGGTCAATCTCGTTTACTAGAATCACCCTACTGATATCAAAATGTTTTGAAATATCGAAAACAAAGGGTGTGGATGTGGGTTTGATCTGGAAGTAGTAACGCACACCTATGCATCTCCAAACTCATATTCATACTCCAAATCTACTCAAGTAAACCAAGCACTGTAGACTCGACATAGCCATTAATGAGTAACAAGACACATTATGCTTGTAACTGTATTGACTCGAAATTTTTACGATCAAATGCAATCTATATATCAAGAACATTGTGATTTTTGAAAGGATTGATAAACAGTACTCATCAATTTTCAAACCTTCGATAGGAGTACATGAAGCTGGTGTAATGAACGTTGATCAAGTTGATTGAAACAATATCTTGTATATCAACAATGACCGTTAATTCTAGAAAAAGAAAGACAAGTGTAACATCATGTAATAGTTATTATGGACATGTACTGAATCATTAAAAGTAAATTGAGGATGAAAACGGATGAAATGAAAAAATTCAATTTAATAAATTTCTGTCAAACTTCTGGTATTGTTTACCGAGTAATTCTCAAGTTGAACCTATTAGATGATGAATGAACAATATTTAGAACAGTACATAGACAGCACTGAATAACTTAGATAATTCAAAAATCTTTGTCATCGCTATTTAATAAGAGATATAGATAAATCCTTCGCAATGTCAAGTGATTGTCAATATTCAGAAGAAATAATGAACAATTGGAATTCATAAAATATAGACATATGTCTTGAGTTTCTTCTAAATCGTTCTTGACCAAGTTATATTCAAATCACATGAAATTTTCAGTCCTATGCCATGATGTTTTCTGGAGATATTTAACAAGGAAGGATGAAAAACAGCTCATTTGGCATCCAAAATTCTCTATCGTGATAGATATTGAAGAATTGTGTAGTGGTCATCAGTACACACCAATTTTGGGAAATTTACACTAATGTTGAAGAAGCACCAAATAAAGCATTTTTTAGTTTCGTTGCATGTGAGTTAAAAGACGAGCATTTTTAAATCTTATTTTTTTTATTCGAAGTTTCTTTTTTCAATAGTCGGGTGCAAATTTGCAATAAAGAAAAAATATAGTCACGCCAATTTGTCATACTCTTGAGAAAAAAAGTTTCAGCTCGTTTGATCAACGTCTTATAATAGAAGTTCGGCAGTATAAGTTTGCTCATATTTATCATCTGGTTTGTCTATATGTTGTCAAAGAATAATGCATTCGATTTCGTTAAGTCTCATGAACCTTTACATAATTAACAATGGTCTATTTGGACTGAAAGTTTCAGAACTTTTTCGTTTCATCGTTTTTTTTTAGAGATCTTGAAAAGGAAGTAGGATACTCGTAAAAATAACTATGGCAAGCAGAAGAATGATCATGACTATATCTCGTAATAGTTTTACCAGTTTCCAGTATGTTGATAGAAAATTTTCAAATTTTACATAGAAACGATAGGTTTTTTAAGCCATTGTTTATTCGAAGCACACTCATCACACTTATTTAAGTCTATGATGGTTTGAAAACTCAAATACAATAATCAATATTTTAGCAGAATATGCAAAACACAAACTCGTTACTACTTAGTAAGTTTCAATGTTGCTTTATAGCACTATAATTAATTGATTTCACTTTAAATACATGCACAGTTCTCAATGTTTATCCCTGTAGTAAACTTACAAGAAACAAAACTATTTCGAGCAGAAACAATATTTAAATAATTCTGACAAGTCGCTTCATCAAAAATTAATGTCTGATTTGTTATTGTGTTAATCTCTCTCCGTTTTTGTATTAAAAAATAGGAATATCCACTAAAGAATGTATAGTTCACTTATTATCGTCTGTAACTAAACGAGCAAAAAATATCAGATTTTTAGCCATTTGAACTTCTATGGCTTCAAAATCATCGATCAATTGCAATACACTGACAAGTTGATGAAAGTAAAAATGGTTCAATTGTCCAGTAGAGCATTTTTATTTGATATTTTTCTTTCATTTCCAGATATTAAAGTAATAATATACCAGGGAATATGATCCCAAAACTATTTTTAGAATCACATATTTTTTTTAATATTTTGAAGATTGTACAAAATATATATTAGTGGATTCATTTCAGTCAACACATAAGAGTGAAAAGCAAATATTTGTCTGTTGTGCAAGCACATTATCTCATTTTTCCTACAGAAGCTATTCAAAACTGTATAGTATGATGTTATATATAAGGAATGCTTCTCTTGTCCGCAAAGACAAAGAAAAGAAAGTACTTGTTTTAACTTCTGTCAGTCAAATAAAATCAAATATTCGAGAAAAGATGCCACATCAAATTCCTTATTGTCAACGAAAAGCTAAAAATACAGTTAGTGATGCTTATATTTCAAATCCTATCGTGATTTTCAATCAATACACTCTACAGTATTATGATTAGTTGGCATTGTCTTCGACCAAATATCGTACGATATTCGATTTACTTTTGTAATATAGGTTAGAAAACTTCATGATCATCATCATCATGTGCCTGAGATTTATCATACATTAAACTGGTGATAACAGTTAGTCAATATGACTATCCGAATGTTTTTGAGAAGAGTATAAATTATAACTGGCACCTATTTAAGTGCTAAGTAATTTTACATAAAAGCTAAGTAAAAAATTGCATTTTTTCAAAGTAATTTATTAAGCATAAATTTGAGTAAAAAATGAATTTGTGCTAAGTATTTTATTTAAATTCTCAATGGAAAAATTTAATTTTCTAGACAAAATATTAGAAATTGACAGGTAAACATATAGTTTTTGTGAAGTAAAAATACAGAAATGTATAAATAAAAATTTTAATTGAATAGTTATTCGATTAATAAAGCTTTTGTTGCTTTTCATGGTCGTCCTCATTTTTTTTCATCCAAAGGTACATCCTTTACTGCTGGAGATTTTTTGAAAAATTTCAATATAATTGCCATACCAACCACATGTTTGAAAAAATACATTCTTTAAAAAATTTGAACAATTGCAAAATCCACTTTTCCATTCTGATTCAATGTCTGACAAAGTTACTTTCTATATATTCAAATTCAAGATCTTTAAATTGATTGAATGGCGTCCATTTTTTTCTTTTGCATCTTGGGACTTCATTTTTTGTGCCATTTTATGCCTCACCAGCTAGTGTATAGTAGTTAGTAAAACCTTTTGTTTTAGATGATAATTGTCATACTAATTTTGAGGATTTTGCCAAATGAAATGCATCACTAATGTATATATACAAAAGAATAAGAAGAGAAGAACTCACTAGAAAATGCCATATGCAGAGGGAAGAACTCTCCCGAAAACAACAGAGATCACATATAATCGCTGGAGAAGGAGAGCGACAAAAAAAATGTACTTGAACATGCTTGAAGACAGTGTATGTGTATTCACGCATGATATCATAACATAAGAAAATAAAGATGAAATCTACTTATTTTATAGTGTCACATCAGTACTAACAGAAGGCAAGAGAAAAAAATGTACAAGCCAAATCATGAACTGACAATCGTTATCTTATCTTGTCTTAATCATATTTACTTATTAACAATTTTTTTTATTTATCTAATATGTTTTCTTAATTATAAGACCCAATTTATTAATTTAATAATTAAAAATTTTACTTCTATATTAATTATCAAACTTGACAAAAATGTTAATTATAGAGAAATATTAATTTAATCTATTATCTAATAAATTTATTGAACATCTAACTTATTTACTGAGCATACATAAATTTTACTTAGCACAAATCAACTTAGCATTCATATATATTTACTTAGCACTTAAATAGGTGCCATTATGAATCATAAAAGATCATTAGTGTATCTCCGTTTTTATTAAAAATCGAGAAACATCGTCCATTTTTTTGAAGTTAGATAGAAGAATTTTTCTTTCTTCTTTTTATTGTAAATATAAAAATAGAATTCATATTCTAAAATCATACTTACTGATAGGATTAATCTAACTAATACAATAAGATGGATTATACAAGATCTGGAAAAACAGAATGACCATGCCTATTTTTCTTATTGATTGACACTACTTTGATTATATATA